TTGATTTCTTTGCACAAACTTCCCGATACCAGGAGTACTGATGCACTCTTCGATGCTCGAAGAAGGTGTTCATAATGGACAGTACATTGTTTGCACAAAACCGCAACAACTTCATACCGTTATTGTTACGTTGTCGCTAGGGCCGTTTCTTTTCAATCACGCGGTTCCACTTTTCAGCGCCTACTCCGACATGCGGATTAAAATCGCCCATGAGTATGAGGGATTCTGTATTTGGCACTTTCTCAAGGAAGATATGATGTTCTCCCTCCGAATTGAGCGCAAAGACTTGCACCAAGGTCAACGTTTTAGCCTGTTGTAGCTTTAGTCGGAGTATCACCACCCTTCCGCTAACAGGCTTCCAATCAATAACTATCTCTGCAGGGTTTGGATCTACCAGAACATCAACACCGGCCTGAGCGTGCGTCGTGGTATCGATACCTGAGTAGAATAGTTTCCATCCGCTGAGGTTCAGAATCCCAGAGCCCCAAAGCTTCGCTGTCAAGAATCCAACCATGTCTGGTGAGTACCTTGCGGTCTTGTGAACCGACTCCCATTGTTTCTTCGAGACAGAGGAGATTTTCCAGTTTCCGACAATGAGCTCCCACCGTCAGAATTTTATCTGATGTTCTGTAATCGCACTACGCCTTTTGACGCCTCCGTCTAAAATGGGTAGCGAGAACGTTGCTGAGTGGTATCTTCATCGTCTTCTTGTCGATCTTCCGCAACAGTCACTGTGCTGCTATGCCCGAGATGCCAGAAAACAAGAATCAGTCTCTGATCATCGACTTTGCCTCAGTTACCCAACAGCCTACGCGGCCCTCGGATAAAGGACAAATGACTAAAGTTAACGGGAGGTTTTGCCAAGGTCTCGACACCTGCTCCTTTCTCCTCCAGGGAGACGGACAGATGGACAACGGGGGAGTTTCATTCAAGCTTTGGACCGGCAATTATGAAATCCAGATATTTCTAAAAAGCGTAGTAGCTTGATGAATGCCGGCTATCGGACCCTCGTAAACCAAGAGTCGGTTTTCTTCCTTTTGTCGGTTTTCAGGTGTATGAACTGTACCGTGTTTCATTATGTCATGCTGTCACGAATTTGATTCTTACTCGCTCTCCTTAACGGGAACGCTGAGAATGAAGTGTATGTGTAATGGAATAATAACAGCAATCGTTAAAATTCTTTGATGTATTAGTCCTTCTAAATCACAAAGAATTTTTTTTTGTAGATCGCTATATAAAAGAAAAATTTTGCAACGACATATTTATGTAGACCGGAGATGTGACAATCAATATTTATGCATTTGCAGCGACTAAACCCACTCTGCGTTTCCGTCATAAGAAAGTATAGTACTCATAATATCAGAGATCGATGAGGACTTTCAAAAAATCAACTTATGTATGAATAAATGAATATGAACAAATACAAATGAATAAATAAAACTGGCGCCATGTGCTGCATGATCCATGAGATTTAATTGGTAAAAACTGAAGTAGTTTGGCTAAGTGGTAGCACTTTCCTGCAAGTTTAATCGTTAATAGATCATTGCAGGTCTAATTGCATTCAGAACTTAATCTGGGAACCAAATTAAGTAAGCCTCACTGAATGCCAATGATCGTTGTTGAACATCAAATGAACGGTGACCGTCTGTGACCTGTAATGTATAAGCATGAATCACCTTAAAAACAGCAGTCCTCATCAAACAGATGGAACATTTACCAGAAAGAACTCCAGAGCTGCCAACGTCAAAT